GACGTGTGATCCTGACCACCTCTCTCTCTTTCTCACTTATCTCAATATGCTGCCGTGGCGTTGCGTTCAATTTCTGCATTGTCTCCGTTCAGAAATTTTGACAATGATTCTCTCCTTTTAGCTTTTGTTTGTTTGTTTCTTTCCTTTGTAGACGTTAGTAAATCTCTGCTGCCCTCCCAGATGGACAGTGGTCATTATATATTTAAATTTGCCAAACAAATATTCTCTATTAGTGATAGACCGATTGGCCGATTAATCCAGCCGATATCTGGCAATTTGAAATATTTTCTTCGACTGATTCCGATAAAAATGTCATCTAAAACAGCATGTTACTGGCTAAGATAATCATATATATCAGATTGTACTCTGCATGGAAAAAATTATACATGACTTTTCTTTGTTTTGATATTGGCGCTATATATATCGACCATGGGTCTCTAAATATCCTCATCGGCAATTGAAAAACACATATCGGTCGACCGCTATTCTCTGTGATTCTCTATGACTAAAGTTTTGAAATGTCAAGTGCAAGTTGTCTTTTTGTTCCTCTTTCAGTGCTGTACTTTATGTTTTATCAATTGTCTGTACTTGATTAAGGTCTGACTGAGTGAAATATTCTATAGCCGCACAACAGCATATCAAATATCACAAGTACGATCTTACTTAACTATAACTACAATTAAACAACACTCCTTTCACTAGATTTTCAAGCTAAGATGTAGTATTCAGCACATGCGGTCCTCTGTTTTTTGTTTTCTTTAAGAGACGAATCAGAGCTGGTGCATAGACAAAAAGCAGTGGCTCACAGTAACGCACAATGCTTTCTCTTGTCTTGACAAAAGTGAACAGAGGTAAAAAGATAAACATTTCACAGAAATTCTCAGTGCCTCTTACTGTGAGACCTCAGGACGTCACTGCTCCATATAATGAGTTTAAACTCTGGATTTGTTTGGTGGGTAGCTGAGATTGTTGTAGGAGCCACATCCGGCTCATCCCTGTAGCTGCTTCTTCATATTTTACACTCCTGTCAGTCTGCATGCATGTTTTAACCTTCACACAGGATTGAAAACACTCCTGAATCTGCTGAGAATCTGTCATTCGTGATGGGAGGCACTGCTGTTTTGTTTTTTAATGTGTTAAGAGAAGGGATTGTTGGAGATTCAGTGTCACCATCCGGATGTTTTTATATACAATAGGTGTGTTGTCCTTTTTTTGTACAGGGCTCTGCCTGTTGTTGTATTCTTGCCAAAGCTACTGATGAACTGTGTCTTTTACTCCTATAGGTCATGATGCTCTGCAAGCTTTAGTACTGACAGATATGTATGCTTGAATTTTTCAAAGGGAACATGAAACTTTGTAAATAAAATTCTTAACAAAATATGAGTGATTTTGGGGGGTTCCTGCATCCTGATAGCTGCATAAATAGTCCAGTGGTTACTGCCAGGGTGTACAAATAAATTTTACCTTCACTGTCTAATCGTGAATTACATGGTTTGCTTGGGACGTGCTGCTCCCTGCTGGTAGACCCATGAAATGTTTTATGTTTAAAATGTGTTGGGTATGGCCTGAAAGTACTATATGATTCAATCTCTTTTTTTTCCTGACCCTGGTCTGACATGAAGCAGAACAAAATCAGGAAGCAGCTATAATAACTTTTTATTTAGAATTAGAATTCAACCAGCATCAACCTTTCCTGTTAGTTGTGCCTTAGTTCGGTCTTGTTCATCACAGATTTCCTCTTCTTGCTCTTAAACTCTTGGAATCTCAAAATCAATGTCAAGTCACACTTTTTTATGTGTGACTTGATGTCAAAACAGTAAACACAAAAGATTCCCACTCAGAAAACCCTCATTTACTTTCAGTAAACTGCTGCAGGTCTGCTCAGTACACATTTTATGTACTGCAGTCCTGATGTTGTGATTCATGGTTTGAGCGTGGCCCCTTAGTTACAATCATAGACTGGTTACAGCAAGGGAGATCTTAACCCTCTCATGCATGTCCATTTTGGGGTAATATATCATGGTTATGTACTCCAAGTAATTTGAGGACAGTGTCAGTAGCAACATTGTAACAGTGGTTACACTCTTGTTTTTCAAATATTTATTGCTTGATGACCTCATCAATCCAAGATGGCTGATTATGATGCCATGTACTAAATGCCTCAGGCATATCTGTTAAACGACCTTTATTCATGTAGGTCAATCAAGGTAAAAAAAATAGTAGCACATACAGTGAAGTGTTATTAACATGTTTATGTTTTATAAATTAAAATTTAGACTAAAATGTTTTTATTAGGGGTGTGCCAATAAATCGATACAGCAATATATAGTTTTTTTCATTTTTCCATGACACTGTATCGATATTCCAGCCCATCATATCGATATATTTAAAAGATAAAAAAATTGCACTTTGACGGTTAGCTCAATGCTAACATATAATGGGAATCTCCATTGACATGCTAATGGATGTATATTATCGTGATCGCGATAATATAATCTTAACATAAACTACATATTTTGCTTCACATGCTTAACATCCAGAGTGACATATTTTAATAGTTAAGATACATATGTTTCCTGTGCTCTGTGTGAAATAAAAAAGAGCTGCTAACTTCACTGGCTTGATCTGCTCCACACTGATAAACTACAGCAACCCCTAAGGGTCAGAACAAAACCTTAAAATTCCCAGTGACCTAAAAATACAGTTGTCACTAGGTGGAGAAAGGGCAGCACAACACTGAGTCACTGAATAGTTAACAATATAATGTGATGTACATATTAGACCTAGGTGGTATACAGCAATTTGTATTTTCAGTAAATTCAGTGAAGCAATGTTTGATATGAAAATTTCATAGTTGCTTAATAGTTCTGTCATTTTAATTTACAGACTGAAAAACATGCTGCAGAATTGTGCTGTTTTCTAACAGTTGGATTTGCAACAAATAAATATAATAGATAAAACATTACCTTTTCACAGGCATTTTGTATTCATAGTTAGATATCGTGATGTATCATTTTCGGATTGTCTAGCAATATATCGATTATCGCAAAATTGCTGTATCGTGATATCGTGAGCCGTGTATCGTATTGTATCGTCCACCCCTAGTTTTTATACACCAAAAATCAACTGTTGCAACAGTGGAGTCAGATTGCATATTACATACATACATATTACAGCAACTTTTGACTGCTTTGCAGCCTTTACACTAAATAAGAATAAGTACTGTACTCACATTAATTAATAAAAAGAATCTTTACAAAATGTAGATAATGTTTTTGATAATTCATGCATGAGAGGATTAAAGCTCCAGCATACAGTGATATTGAGGAGGGCCCTTTCATGTTTTAACACAATCCAACACCTGAGTAAGAACTGCCACTGACATAATAAAAGTGAATGCAGTGAGTGGTGCAGACCCCTCTCACTCCACATTTAGATTTGAAGAATGTATTCCTACAATTATGTGCAGCACACATAAAACCATGTTCCATTCCTGATCTACAATAAACTTTTTTAAATCTAAAAATCCTCCTTTCTCCATACTTTTACAGAAATGAAGCACACAAATAAAATGCATTCTACTTTGTATAATTTCTTATTCCATGGTTTTCGGACCAACATGTTTCAAAATTCGGCTGCATTTGTATCATAAATGCCATGGAGGCTAGTTTGTCAACCACAGCGCTGAACAGATGTGTTTTTCTAATCAAAATATTTCAACACAATTTGCTACGCAGGGGCTCACTCAGCAATGTGACCCCACCAAACCAGATATAAAATGAGATCTGCAACCAATCAGTCTGAGCAGCAGCTGGTACATCTTCCATTTTTTGTTTTCCTTTTCTTCAAACTACACAGCTGGGTGATATGACCAAAAGTTAATATCACAATGATTCCCTAGATTCACCCACAGACTCAATAACAATACATTGACAATAAATAAAAACAAACCTTATATTAAAGTTGGATAAAAAGATGAATAAATTGTATTTATTTGTTATGCAAGCATGTTTGAGCTTATTCATGTGTATTAGTTAGTTAGTGTTTGTCTCATCAACATGAATATATAGAAGGCAGGTGAGACTGGGTGGAAGCATGCCACTAGCTGTCAAATGGGTGTTATTATTTATTGTCCTTTAAGTGGACAGCTCTCCAAAGCATCTGGGGAATAACTGGATTTTTTTTTTCTAGTCTGTGACGGTTGGCCTGTTAATGTTGTTTGTATTTATTGTGACACTCTTTAAATGCCCTTTTAAAAAAAGGATTTTTAATCTTTACAAATACAGAGAAAATTGAAATTAATTTAACACACACTTCTAATGCTGCCATTGTTACAGTTTGGTTAATTGAACTGCGACAAAGACTTTAAGATCAGAAAAGGGTGTGATAAAAGATGCATCACCAGCTTATGATCCTGATTAGATCAGACACATTTGACAATAGCAGAAACTGGCAAACATGACAGCAACTCTTATAAATTATGACAAAGTCTCTTCATAGTCAGCCTCTGATCATTGGGACTAACAGAATTAGACAAAAAATAGGCACATTTTTCTCTTAGTATCAGACAGACTTGTTGACTTCAACCCTCACTCTCTTCACCAATCTGCATTTCCTATGATTAACATATGACAACAGGCAGTATTTGATCTTAAATTAACCCTCAAATGTCCATATAAAATTTACAGTCGACAGTTGGAGAGTGGTAAAGGCTGAAAGGCAGATATGTCAGAGCAGATCAGGTAAAAATCAATTAAAACAATGTGAAAGGACAAAAAAGTTCCTCAAGAAGTTAAATTATGGTTGTCTTTTAAAAAAACATGAATTAGACAACTGAAAAATAATTCATAACACTTTGGATAAATGTGCTATATAAATGCAGACGTTTTTTTAACCAAATACCTTTTGTCTGTTATGAGTTACAGTGAGGTTCATACTGTGTACTGTAAACACCTAAAATAACATTTGAAACTATAAACTAAATTTGGCACACACATAGATGGGGTTTAACAGCAATGTAGTTTATTTATGTGGTAGTTTGTGGTTGCTGTAGCTGTGTTTGATTTGTCATTTTGTCTAGCCTGACATAAAAAAACAAGATGTGGTCAACATGTTGCAACATGCCAGACCACAAGAACACATTTTTAACACTGAATATCTTAGAAATGAGTCTTCAAATACAGATGGGTGACAAATTAGAGGAAACACCAACAAGTGTCTTAGTATGTACTCACAAGGCCATTATAACAGCTTCAGTGCTTCTTGCCAAGTCTATGGAACTATTTTAGAAGAATGGACACTTTTCCTCCACAAGACATTCCCTCATTTATATAAACAACCTCTACTTTATCAGGTAACGTCACTGAGATCAAGATCTTTACTGCAAGAGAGACCAACTAAATAGATGTGAAGATGACGGTTTTAGATTAGATGATTTGGTCTTATTGGTGGTGGAGAGCACTGTCTTATAGGCTAGTCCAAAATCTTCCATAGGTGTGAAACTGGGTTGAGATCTGGTTACAGTCAAGGCTGTGGCATCATTTCATACTCACCAAACCGTTCAGTAAGTCTTGGTGCATGGAGATGTCTGCTTTTGATTTGTGTCTGCACTCTTATTCATGTTTTTAAGTTGTCCTCCATTTGTACACACATAAATATAAAACAGCGTCTTTGAAAGAATCCCAAAACCAAACATGGCCAACTTAAGTAAAAGTACTGCACACAACAAAAAGATGGGTAGTAACAATCACTGTGTAACATTTTAATGTTTTGTGGGATTCGAAATTAAATATAGCAGGCAAGTAAACAGAGACTTGGCAAATCTTTTAGTAAAGACAGTATTAAAAGGGTATGTAGCTTTGAAGAACACTTCCATTGATGGAGTCACACAATAAACTCCTCAATATTCACAGTAGTCACTGTTGGCTCTTTTTCTTCTCTGGGCAAATGTAAGACAAAAGTGTGTCTATCATGTTCTTAACAATGACTGGAGGTGGATGGAGGGCGTGAGGAAGGTGGTGCGCTAAACTCATTTGCCAGGCGTCCACCAGCAGAACGTTCAGTCCTTTGAACATGGCCCTAAGCACCTTGTCGAGCTGCAGGGAGTACCAGTCGCTGTTGTACAGGCTGACCTCTTGGTCCAGGGCCTGGAGGTTGGCTGAGCGGATCACAACGATCGTACCCGGCGCCCGGTCCAGAAGTCGCACCAGCGCCCGTCTAATGTGACGGAGTCGCCGTATGTACACCTCCACAGGAAAGGTGCTAAAATGAGCCCAAATGCTGAGGACCACGACTGTGTTGGGACCCCCGGAGAGGCCATCCAGCTCGTTTGAAATGTACCGCAACTCACTGGACATGACCGTAGAGAAGCGGATGGGTGGGCCATGGCAGCGGTACTTCAACAGAATATTATGGGTGCTGTCCACCGCCATGAAAGGCCCCACATTTTTAGGACTGTGCAGGTTGAACTCCTTTAATCCTGGGGAAGGAGTTATAAATTAAAGTTACAGAAGGAAAAATACATAAGGCAGTGAAAACCAAAGATGAGACCAAAAGATCAGCACTCACCTGGTACTAAAGCAATGAGGTACTCAAACCACTGCCTGACAGTAGAGTCTCCATACATGTTGATCACCTTATTCTTCAAACACTGAGTGATGGCAGATGATTCATTGAACTGACGCATTGTAACGCCACCTAATGGCCTCCATGAGTCCTCGTAGTAATATCCAGAAGGTGCTAGCTTAATAGGTTCTGGCTTTATACTGCTGCTTTCTATCTCAACGTCATCTGATGCAAAGCAAAAAATGTTGCAGACAAAATTATTCCATTGGAATAAATCAAACCATGCACAAACTATAACTGTTACTCTGCAGGTATACTGTACCTTTCCTGGGAGGCAGCACATAGATTCCATCGGGTCCTGAAGCGTGAATGCGAACTTTGATGTTTACACCACTAAGATAAAAGAAACATTATTAATGGTCAGTGTTAAACCTGAATGTTAAAAGGTTTATATTCTACATTTGTATTAAAGACAATAAATCCTAAGAAAAAAGACCAAAAGCAACAATGTGTTACTGTGTATTCACATAGAACACAAAGTGTGAGTTGAAAGTATTCAACTTGAGCAAAAAATATGCGTGTATCACAAGGCGGAGTGTTGTGTGGTAGGGACAGAGCCTCTACTCGCAGACTGACAGCTACTGATTGACGGGAAGCTCTGGAGGAGAAAGGCGGGTGGCAGCGCTGGTGTTTCTGGACAAATAAACACCCAGACTCGCACCGGATTCTGCTCTATACGGAGCCGTTTACCGGCGGGAGGAGCTCAGAGTTAATTCCTTTTATTAAATTAACTTTTTAATTTTGGGGATTAAACAGCCTCTCGGGCTTCTCCACCTGTGTGCATTAGCTAGCCACTGAGTTTCCAACCTTTGTTGTCCTTATTGTAGTCGTCTGTGGGCACTGAGAGCTCTATGATACTACTTATATTTACATATTACACAGAAACCGGACAAAACAGGAGATTTCTTGGAAAAAAGTAAGCGAGGATACTGAACTACCTTGTAAGTTCAGAAAATATGTGTCTGTTACTTGATTACAGCTATCATTGTACTTTACTATGAACCAGTTAGCATAGTGTAACTCCGATCCGAACGCCATTAAGAAAACAAGCATTTTAAAAGTTGTTTGCTTGTCATCTTGTGGAGAGAACTGACAAAGCAAGAATTCAGCCTCTTTCTCCTGTCCAACATCCCTAGACAATCGGAGGCATTCAGCCCTAAACCTAGTTCCTACTGAAGACATGAACAGGCCACTAGAGTGGCAGTGTTACAGAGGAATAAGCTATGAGGTTTGGTTAAACAAACAATACTTATTAGTAGGGGTGTGACAATACACTTAGCTCACGAGACGGGACGATACACGATATTGGGTTCACGAGAACAAGATGATATTTTAAGACTAAATCTTCAGTGACAAAATATATGATTAGTTAAAAGTCTTTTTTTTTGACTTCACAAAATGCAAAACAATGCTGGGGCATTTTGAAATGTTGCTTACATATTGTTTGTGTCATATCTGTCACTTGTTTCCACCGGGCTGCTACACAAACATCTTCTATGCTAATTTCACCCTCACACTCTGTCATGCTGATATCGTGAGACAGCTTTTCACCTCAAAGAGAAATATCGTCACATTTTAATATTGCGTGAACTTCCCATCCCTACGTACAATACAAATATATGTCATAGTGTCATTTTTAACTCATCCTATAATTGTACCTCTGGAAGAGCAGTGCTTCTTTGTTGGTGATGAGGTGTTTCAGATAGCCTCCTTTGGCGTGGTTGATTCTGGTGTCACAGCTGAGTATTTTAGGCTTGTAGCAGTACCAGGGCTCCCCTGTGTAAAGGTCTGTATAATTGCACAGAGGCTGCGGGTCGGGGGGCAAGCACATGTTGCACACTGTAGTTTCAGACAGGAAGCCCAAGCGGAACAGGCTCTTGAAAAAGACTCGATCTGGACGTTCCTCCCTCAGTCGCCATAGGACAGCAACGGCCTCGCTGGAGTGCACCAGTGTAATCTCAACACGTGCGGCCCCCGCCCAGAGGAGCGGGAAGATGGCTGAATAAAATCCATTCTTGTGGTCCAGCACCGTTCCTGCTACACCTGCTCCAAGCTCCGGGGAGTGCAGCCTGGCCAAAAGGAAATCCCCGCCGTAGCGCTTGGGACGACCCTGGAAGTCATGCATTTGGACAAGAGCCTCCAGCTGGTCGCCCACATGCCACTCCCTTCCTCCCTTAGCGGGAAGGATGGCAAACAGGCTATGCACAGGGTCACTCGTCTGGCGAAGGGGGGCTGGTGTAGAACGAGGCGGAGGCCCAGGCCAGGCAATAGAGTCCAACAGGTAGCGCTCTTCCGCTTCATCTTGAGAGGAGGGTTTCTGGCCCAGATGGGCACAGAAAGTGTGGTTGTGATGAAAAGTAGGGAGATCCACTGGGATGAAGGATGATTGGATCCTGCTCTGGAGCTGGTAGAGGGCTGAAATAGTGTGGCAGTTCCAGTTCTGAAGAGAAAAGGAGGAGAGTTAGGAGATGCTGCAGGAGACAGGACCATCATCCTATGACTGACAGATAAAAATGCATAAAAGGGCATAACACTACCAATCGAACCAACCTAATTATCTCAGGCTTAGACTATAATAGAGGACTGTGTCATATATTAGTGAATGTTATCCTGTGATGGCAATATAGACTGTATATAAAAAGGGTGGAAATGAATCCTCTTCTTTTAAGAGTCTTCACAACAGTCAAATTAAATGTAAAAAACGGTGGGTTTCTGAATAATGTCATATTTCCACCGAAGAAAAGCTCTGTGCTATGATTGTCCTCATAAGCAAGTGTATACATAGCATGTTGTTAAAAGATAAAGAGGAAAATGATCAGTGTATCCATCGAGGTAACTCATAAAACACATCAATTAAAACCCATGTGTGACCCATTTTGTTCCTCACCTCCACAGTGTGGATGTTACGCAGCAGGAAGATGAGGCCGGACACGGCTAGGAAGAGGAAAATTAGGGTATATTTGGAGAGATTTCGGCACATGGTGACCTCCTTCTGTCTCCCATGATCAGGCTCTGTTTCACTCTATGCTGTCACATCGGTGATGATGGTATCATTTCGTCCGCAGCGCCTGACGCCATGTGAAGGATGTTATATTCATGTTTGGAAAGAAACATAGATAAAAATCATAGTTGACACAGGATAATGCAGATATTCTAAGTTTTTGTCCAAAATACATTTGTCGGAGCAGTTTAGGAGTCCTCATCAGACAAGGGAAGAGAAGTACACATTTATTTGTTTATATGGTACAAACCTAACTAATGTCTCACAAAAAACAACTATAGTCTCTCTGTGTGCACAGTAACGATCTGATAGGAGAAAGATGAAAGGCATAGATTTTTTTTATGTGAATTGTTTTATTGATCATTATAGATTATTGGTTAGATGATTTCAAAAATAGTTGAGGTGTGAATCAGGAAGGACTCCTTTAGTAGCATATTTTATATGTAGAGGAAACAAATTTCTTTAACATTATGTTCTTTTCTGACATATGCTTTTTTACCACTGTAACCATATTTGGGTCTCACTGTCTGAGTATTATTGATCTGTTACAACTAGGAAAACTCTAAAGCTAGTATGAGGACCAGGACCAGGGACTGTTTTGGTCAAACTTACCAAAGGTCAAGAATTAACTTTGATGCTTAATACACCACTCTGACCTACTATGCATGTGTTGCTGCTGTTATATCAAAATATATGGAGACAATAACTAGGCTGAAGGATACATACACTAGGTATTGATTTGGTTTAGATTTTTCTTTTGTTCACCCACTTATAAATATAATATTTTAACATGTCTATTTTTGGAAGCATCCTTATTTTAAAGCTTTTTTTCCACACCTGCCTTGTGTTTACAAAGTATATGTGTTACATCTCATCTCAATGACAAAGATGCGTGAAAGTCATTGGTTTGCAAGTCAAAAATACATTAAAGGTTTTAAAGTCAATTATTATTATTGATTATTCGTTCGCTCAAATGTATCCACTAACGTTAAAGCTAGTCCTAACCGAGGTTATTGTGTCTTCTGTTTAGTCTATCCATTTATCCACGCTTAGAAATGTCTACAAGCTGTAATGAGCAGATTTAACGGCCATAACCGCTCCGTTATCAAGTTACTTTTAAAAACAGCACAGATCTCCCGATGAATCTTCCATCTTGATTCATAACGGCCGTTTGTTTTAAAACGGTTAACGTTCGAAGCTTCTAGACGCCAACAGCAAACAAACGGATGGATACCAATAATCAATACATGGGTGGAGATTCCACCATATTTATAATTTATATAAACCTACCCGTTAAGCTAACGTCAAAACCGGTGATGCAGGCGTTTTAGCCAGCTAGCCAAAGCCTCCCTACTTACAAATAACGACGACAGATAAGCGTGATGTCGGACAGTTAGAGAGCCGGAGGAGGGTGATGAGTCTGACATACACATCAGAGACGGTGTGGTGGACTGGAAGAGCGTCCTGGGCTGCGTTGCTTAGGAAGGTTCCTAACTGAGGGAAGTGAACCGGAAGCATTTCCGTGGCAGCCATGATAAGAGCTGGTCGAATTCTTTTAAAGCTAAGGAAAGGTGCCTCAATGCTTCCTTTCATATCTCCTTTAGCATAGGGTACACCGGACCATCCTTTATGAAAGGAAAGGAGAGAATACCGTTCCACAATTCCTTGCGGCGGCAACATTTAAAGCGGCGCATGTTCTCAAACTCAAATGATAAAATCCATCAACCACATTTAGCAAGATCCTTGCAATACAGACACACATTATGATACTTTGATAAGACTCACATAAGACTACCTTCTTTCTATTGGTTTGTTTCCTTTAGGCTTTTTTGTAATCTAATACTGTTTCAACACCGTTTTATGTTTCGGGTTGTTAAAATAAGCCATTAAGTGTTTTCTACAATAAAAACAAATAAATCTCCAACCATGACGGATAAGGGAGGTTGATCACCATGTTAGTAAGTTAACATTGGCTATTAAGCTTTTTCTCTCTTATGCCATAACTTGCTAATATGCATATATCTTAAACTGTCAAAAATAACAGACCCATGCCAGCTGTTACTAGTCTTGTAACGTGATCAAAGTGAGGATAATGTTGCAGCGTGTAGACTCACGTTATGTACTGCAGCCTTCAGCAAATTAATTTTACTTCAGTCACAGATGCTGACACCCTCGTCTTAATAAAGGCAAAGATCAAGCTGGATAACCTCTACAGCAGGCGTTTCCCACACACTGATTTATTTGTGGCGGACTGCCACATTATCAAGCTGCTTTTCGATTGATTTTATTACTTTTTTTTATTATTATTTAAAATGGGTAAAATCGTATTTGATGACAGAGCGCTGCACAGCGCATATGTTCTCTCAGCATCTCCTCTCGCCCCGTCGCTCTCTCTCTCTCTCTCTCTCTCTCTCTCTCTCGGCACATTTACGCTTTCATTCTGTGGGAAACACTGTATTTACATACAATTGGGATTCATGTTGATAAACAGGCCTATGGTTGGGCAGGAGGGTAAGTGTGAGCAAGCATTCTCAATGTGACAACCCTGTCCATTATTTAGTGACTGGTAGGCTACCTTATCTGCCTTTTTGCTATCTTGGTTATTAAGTAATATATTCCACCGTGTTGTCCACCTTTAGATGGCCTGCATTACAACAACATGGGGCGCAGTGTCAAAGATGCGCTTTTTGTAGTCCATCTTCGGAATATTGTAGTTTTATCACGGCACGCCACGTCAGTAACATCCGCCGTCGCATAATTACGTCGCTTAGAAAAGAGCAGTCGGATTCTCTGAGCCCCGCGGTCCTCTTTTCCTAAGTCCTTATGGATTCTCCTTCTACATCTTTCCTTGACCTCATGACGTTTTCCATCGAGGTCAAGGACAGGAGATTTTTTTTGACTTTTCGACCGCAGCCCTGGTTACCGAGAGCTCCCACTAATAACGGTAATCATGATGACAGGAAAACAGGACCAGGTTGGGGGGTGGTTTTTTGGTGGATGAGGCTTGCTGCGTCCTCTGGCGGTTAGTAATTCGAAATTTGAGCGCATAAAAGTAATGTATGGAAGCCGACAGAAAAAATACCTTGAACTAGTAATATTTCAGTAGAAGAATTATGACTAGTAACAATGAATACTTTTACTGTGTTTTGCGGTGAAATTGGCTCGACTCACATTGGTACAGTGTAATTATTTACTCTTTTTACTTCCTTATTCTGTAATAACTTGTCAACAGTGGTGAAAAGTACTTAGAGAAAAGTAATGATAACATGCAAAGAATATAGCTCAGTCTTTAAATATATACCTAATGGGTTTTTTGGAATTAATGAAAAGCTGAAAAGAAACAACATAAGGTTCCTAGTGTCACACGTACTCTTTATATAAATGATATTGATATTATGAGCATCAAATGCACTAACACACATTAGAAATTACTTTTCTAAATTTAAAGAAAATAACACCTGGCAAATTTTTCTGGGATTCTCATACTGTTAATTGGCACAGGGCGTGGCTTGTTCCTTTTAGATTTTCTATTACTAACAAAGTTAGAGAATTACACTTGAAAATGTTGCATAAAATATATCCAACAAATTGTTGATCTTGTAATTTATGCTTGCTGATAACAATTGCACCTTTTCTATGATTGTTCATTTTGTATCACATTCTGGATGGACTGGAAGATAAGAATGTATGTATGCGCTCTACTTTTACTTGAAGTGTTGAATGCAGGCTTTTACTTCTAATGGAGTATTTTTTAATACTGTGGCATTGCTACTTTGACTTCAGTAAATTATCTGAATGCAACAACTCACAAATATTAGTAACCGCTACAATTACTCATTTCATCAGTGGGTTCTCGTTCTAATAAATGTTATTTTTTAACATTTTGTTCACTAAAGGATTAATTGAGACACAGAACAGTTGTTAGTTGCAGCCATGGTTCTTACAATATAATACAAAAACAAATAATTGGAAAACAATAATTGCAGATTTATTTGCATGTTTTAAGAAGATAAAGATGCTACAACATTTTCAGGTAATGTAAAGTTGATCAAAACAGTTGAGCTATTACTACTATGTGATAATAGATAGTATGCTTGTTGTTTCATGTATAGTATGTCTGTGGTTACAAGTTCACTATGGTTAAACACACACTCCTAATGGGATTACTTGTAGTTTATCACATATATTCAGTGCAGTGGATACTGATAGATATAGAAGAGAACAGGTTATATGCCTGGTCTTTTAATCAGTAGAGGTAGCAACCTACTCACTGTATTTCCTCATAAAACAATTGCTTGCTATCAATACCTTCTGAAGCTACATCACAATCATCGTCTTTACACTGGGCAGAAAATGTCCATTAAATAACAGAACAGATCCAAGTAGTGGAAGTATAAAAAATCTTGTTACATTCACAGTAAGGTATTGTTTTTAAGCCCGTCCTGGGTTTAGTCTTGATAAACTAAGGTAAGTGCACAGCCATTTGAGATCTGGGTCAGTAATCAATAAGAGTGCAGTAGTCAGACATACCAAAAGTCTCAAGAGGAAGCAGTGCAGATTGATCCTATAGTCAGTGCCAGTTTACACTCAGTAGTTCTGTACAGGGGTCTCTCAGGTGACTCTCAGACAGGGCCAGGAATGGTTTCCTCTGTTCTTTGCACTTCTGATTGGTTATCTGCTGCGTTCTGCGGAGGGGAATTTGACTGTGCTGATTTGCTGGGGGATATTGGTGAGGAGAGCAGTGGCGTTTCTGTTCTATCACTGACAACCTCCTCAGCCTCCTCCTCCCGCTGCTGTACAGAGGAGAGGTACTGCTCCAGCAGGCTGCAGTCTGCGCTGTCCGCACCATTGCTACCACCAGCAAAGCCGCTACGAACAGGGCTTAGTGCTCTCACCGTCTTCATAGAGTCTGTGGTCCCACTGCTCAGGAAGCTGTCCTCCTGCGCTGCCTGCTGATCACTTGTTGGCTGGAAGCCAGAGTCAGGGAAGGAGACGTCGGTGCTGGGAAGGTTCGTCATGCTGGGAGGGTTTGTCGTGCTGGATGCAACAGGCAGGGCAGCCTCACATAGTCCAGGAGCTGAGATCTGGACCGGGGCGACGGGCTGAGCAATACAGGCCAGCTGCTGCTCCACAGACTGTTTCCACTGCTGCATCGACTGGAGCTACAATGAGAACCCGGGAATAGTGTTCAATCAATGAATCACGTTGCAAAGCCAATAACAACTGGATGGTCAGTCAGTCGATTAGTCTGAACGGCCAGTCAAATTTGTGTCCCCTTCAGAATGAATTGTAATAACCTGTGATCCCTTAGCTTTTCCTCTAACCTACAGATGAGACTGTAATGCGTTCAATACTTTGGTTTATGGCCAAATACCTGCAAAACTACCTATGTTCCTATCAGCCTCAGATATATTTAGAGTTTAGTGCCAATTAGAAAATGTTAGCATGCTAAACTAAGATGTAAAAAAGTATACCTGCTAAAGATCAGCATGTTGGCATTTAGCGAGTACAGCCTCACAGGGATGCTAGTGTGGCAGTAGAGTCTTAGGGCCTTTCCGAAAGTACTTATATTTGTATATATACTTATAAAGTATATATTTGACTGTCACAACCCGAGCCAGAATGTGATCCATTCGGTCGGTAACATTTGAAAACGTTACGCCAGCCGCATGTTTATAATTTTACCCCCATTTAAGTTAGCGGAGCGCTAAACCGGAAATTAGCCTGCTCGGCCGGCAAAAGTCAACACAGTATAAATGCATGGCTACGTGCGTAGCCTACGGCGTAGGTACGCACGTAGACCCTACGCAGAAGTATAAATGGGCCTTTAGTCTTGTTTGGAAGAAGGAGCCCACAGGAGACCAACATTACACCACACAAATAATGTGTCGTGGTGAATGGGTGGCTGTGATAATGAAAACTTCAGTCACTGACCTGTTTCCAGAGAAACTTTACAGCTTCCTCCTGAACCAGCCTTTGTAACCTTTCTTCTTCATACTGCTGCTGCATCCTGCAGACAAATCCATTTTTCAGGACATTTGAATCTTTGTACATATTGGCAAACATGTATTTATATACCCACAGCCATATGTAATATTTGTTAATGCAACCATTCTCATATCATAAGTAAAATAGAAAACAAACAATTCTGATGGTCAGTCAGTTACCTGTCGAATTTTTCAGACAGGAAGAGGATGTGTTCTTGCATCCTGTGTAGGCGGATTTCACTTCGTACTTCTCTGGCCATGGGGTGACAACACCGAGTGTGCTGTCCCCTCCACCATGACTGTATTTTAACCGCTGCCCTGTCTGCTTCCATCAAACCTGATTCACTCATAGCAACTTCTTCCTGCTTGGGGGCTTCTTTCATCTCTGCTCTACCAGAGTCAGAAGATGTTTCCAGATCATTTTGTGGTGTGCTAACTCTGACCCTCATTGTTCCAGCTGTTGTGGCTGCATCAGAAATAATAATTTCCTCATGACCCCTCTCTTGCTTATCCACTGGGGGCGAATGATGTGTCTTGCTTGTGTTGTGCTTTTTGGGCTGTGCTGGCCGCTTTGGAGCCAGGGAATCAGGTTCAAATGTCTCGGTCTCATCCTCGCTGTCAGAGTGGGTCGTTTGTGGCTCCAGATCAGAGGTGAAGGGGATAAAGGTGGACTCTGAGGACAGCATGCTGCCATTGAGTTTGTCCTCATCTGTCTGCGCATCCTCCAAATAGATGTGCTCATCTACGAGCCTTGGGCTGCGCACTACAGGCAGTGATGGGTGGGAAGAATCACAGCTCACCCAGGTGTTAAACTGCACAATTGGCTCTGTACAAAAGTAGACATGCTATACAGTTAAAATTATGAAAAAGAAAGCTACACAACCACTTGTAAAGAGAAACAATAAAGACGAACCCATGATGTCCACTGGAATTGCCCCATAGAGTGACAAAGCAGCCTTCTTACCCATCTCCCGGACTGATGGAGAAGCAGCTGGTGCAGGAGCACTGACTTTCTTCGCCTCTCTGGCTCCCCCCTGTGGGACAGCATGTAAAGGACTGTGCCTCTCCACATCAAGTTGAGTTGGACGAGGAGGACTAGGACAGCCTCCCCGGGTCTCCTCTAAAAGCTGCCTCTGGTGAAACCTGAGAGACAACAATGTCAGTTCAAACATGAGGTAATTCAAGTAAATATTTTCCATTAAGAAGGATGTATGGGTTATGGGCCATGAAGTGAGAACCAGATGACAGTTTTTGGTGTCATGTTTTTGGAGAATCATGTTCAGATTTATACCTCTGCTTACTGAGGATCTTCTCCAGTTTGGCATCTTCTGCTGTCTCCAGGGCTGGTGATGACGTCAGAGGGCAAACAGTGGCCAGGTACTGAACCAGCTGAACATGCTGACCTGGTCGATATGAGCGTCCTTTCCCCTGACTGTAGAGCCACTCTGCTTTGAGACTGTAATTGTGACAATTATAGACTGTACATAAGAAACTCAAATAATATTCCTGCATTAATCTTAACTAGCAAATTGTAACAGCATAGTAATGTCCGTACCCTTCTTTCTGTGACACCACATAACCATCCAGGACCTTTAGACTCAGGCACCAGCTTGTGATATATGGCCGATAATCAAAACCTGGCAACGAGGGGGTTGCCATAACACAAGGGTTGCTCATAATGGACAACTGCTCCAGGTCATGGAGAGGTGCCAAGTATGACATCTATGGAATAATGAGAAGAAAGTCTGTTAATCATAATTAGTCTCTATATAATGTAAATGGATAGATCAGTGCTGATGTTTCAAGTAAGGGAAAGATAATTACTTCATTAAGATCCCTTATCTCGTTTTCTGCCAGGGAGAGAATAGATAAATGGGCAGGTAGGTGAGCAGGAACAGTACGAAGTGTTGTAATGCTGTTTCCGTGGAGTAACAGTGTCTGCAAAATTGACAGAAAATTAATCAAAACAGATATATAAAAGAAAACTGACACTATAACAGTACATTATTAAACAACCTTTTTTTAGGCTTGCTTCTGACCTCCAGCACTCACCTTTAATGCCAACAGTTTAGTCAGATCACCAATAGTAGATATGTTATTGTCAGATAGATCCAGGTGTTGAAGGGAAACACAGTTGTTGAGTTGCTCAATGACCTGTGTAAAAGAGTGCACAGTCGATTAAACATGCAACATATTAAGACATGGGCTGAAACTAATGGATGCATCTATGCAAGGACATTTTTTGTAAATAAATGACATGATATATCAGTTAAGTATGTGACAATATTTTCACTCACCTTAATGTTGTTCCCAGACAGGTTGAGCCATTTGAGATGTGTTAGATCTCTTAGCCCCTCGATGTATCCAATACTGTTATTGGGAAGATTGAGGACTCTCAACTCTGTTAAGCGAGACACGCCCATCATTCTCACCAGACGGTTACTGGCTACAGATAGCTAAAGATGAAAAGATTTATCAAAGAAGAGGAAGATTTATCAAAAGGCATTAAGTGACTATCTTATAAGCCTGTGTAAAGGGAGTGAGAACCAAACAAAAAGTTCAAAGGGTTTAACTACCTGCTGAAGGCCTGGGCTCCTTTCAAGATGGTCCAGTTTCATTATGTGGTTACGGTCCAGGATGAGAGTGTGAGTGTCCTCAGAGCAGGTGAAACTAGGATCCAGCTTTTGCATACCCCGCGATGAAAGATCCACCACAGGTCCTAGTAGGAGTAAAGAAAGTTGAGATTAAACAGAGTCGAAAACCACAACAACTGTCATTTTGCCAATCACCATGGCAATTTAAAACACAATATCTTAAAGCAGCTAAGCACACATACAGTATACACCTACAGTAAAGCTGGAGGCTGACATTTTACACATGAAGGTAATTTTATTGTGATCAGGGTCACCTCGAGTTAGACTGCTTTCCTGACAGAAAACGTGTGGTGGCATGGAGTTTGAAAATGAGGGCATTAACAAGACTCATTCATTAGTATGGTATTATAGAAGTTGTAGGATACAGTGTTGAAGAAACTTTACTTTTTATAGGGACTAAAAGTTAGGATATCTCGGCCTCTACTGCACTGATATTGTTTTAATCTCTCTTTTCAGATCTTCCAACTTTATGAAGGTGTAAATGAATAGCCTACTAAATCGCCCTTTAAGAGAAGGGAAGTAAACAATACAAGAGGAGGAGGAAGCGATAATTTCACATAATGGTTGAAATGATATCCCAAGGCACGAAAGCTGACTATCAAATAAGGACTAACAAGGACAGAAAATAATCAATATTATATATAATATAATACGTTAATACCATATCGTACTTGGCTACAATCTACCCGAATCTACCTAGACAACTTGGAGAACATTAACACTACAGAAAATGTGTTGGATTCATATTTAAGTTTAGTTAAACTTTGCTGCAAGACACTTTGTAAGTCTGGCGCCAGAGCAACGTTACTACTGACACAGGATGTTTTGATCTGCAACCTAGAGAGTAACATTAGCTAACGGCGGTACTCTGGGGCGATGCACGCTAGCTTACGTTAGCTAGCTACATTCTCGCAACGGCAACCGTTACCTAAAAATGGACCATGGCTGTCCGTCTGACCAAACAAACCATTAGGCACTTACCAGCATTTGTATCAAATTGTAAATCTGATACGCCCATCCTGACGCCTCAGACAATACTTATCGTTAGCTTACAACTATGTACCTCGTATGAAAGACAAGAAACGTATGTCGCTTGTCAAACGGCTAAACCAAAGAGGTTCTGGGAAATGTAGTTCAAGCAGGCCGTCCCGCTCATTTCGGAGTAGCGTCTGTTGTGGCTTGAAAAGACTACAATCCTCATTGTTTCCCATTGCCAGCCAGGCTGTAGTATAGAAAGAAAGGAATACGCTACCAAAATGGGCCTATAAATTAGCTATTTATCTTTAAATACTTATTTGCTTTGTCGCTTGCTGATAGGCTTGCTAGGCAACCGTCAGATTGTGACGTCATCCTTCTGCTGGTGATCGGTTATTTGATTAAAATATTTTTACAAAAGTAAAAATAATGTATATGTGTATTTTACATGTAAAACATTAACAATAACTTAAACTTACTGAAAAATAGCCACTATTTATTAGTTCATATATATCGATTTGAAGTCTCCCATTGTAGTTTCCGTATCCGCCATCTTTCTTTCCGGTTTTGTGCCCTCTCGGAGCCATCATGAAGTGAGTCTACGGAATACTATCAAACACCATCTCAACACTTAAATAAACATTATAATGGTGTTATCTACATTAAGAGTTACTGTGTACCCTTTTCTTTTAGTGATGCCTTATATTTGTCGTTTTCAGGGTCGAGTTGTGCAGTTTCAGCGGGTATAAAATATACCCCGGCCATGGCCGTCGATACGCCAGGATAGACGGAAAGGTAACCATCCCACCCTAACACCGGTTTCCAGCTGCTCTGACTGTAGATACGGTGTGAAATGTACTTAATCGGATTAAAACGTGATGTCCGTTTTCTTTGCCGCCTATTATAGGTGCTTTAACAAAAGTTAACAGTCTCTGGAAGAGGCCCTGTCGGCTCCATTGACTTGCTAAAGTTAGCTGCTAGCTCAAACTGTTACCGCCACAATATAGGAATTTATAGTATTTCCATTAGCACGACGCTTTTAAGTGGCTCTACTCTACTGCCCTAGAGTTATTTTTCACAACTGTTGTAGAGTTTTGCAATGTTTAACCAAATCCAATGTCACTGTTTTAATTTACTAGCTTGACATCTACACTGTGTCAGCAGAGTAGTATGTTAAGGAGTAGATGCAAAACTGACCGTCACCTGTCAGTGATTTGTAAACCAGGAGAGTGATTTTGGATGCATCATAAATATATCATAAGCTTTCTTCCTTTCTTCGTTAGGTGTTCCAGTTTTTGAATGCCAAGTGTGAGTCCGCCTTCCTTGCCAAGAGGAACCCAAGACAGATCAACTGGACTGTGCTGTACAGACGCAAGCACAAGAAGGGCCAGTCTGTAAGTAACAGGCAGAAATGTGTCTGTGTTATCTAGTTACTAGGTGTTGTCCGTGTAATTCCAAAGTTACACACCAATGGGGCTATATTGTCTATATTACAGTTCTGTGTGATAATAAAAGTGGCCAATATCGCTTTAAAAGTAGTAGTTGTTGGTCCAGCAATTGTCTGTAGATTGACTGACTGTGAATTTGGCATTTGGGCTTATTTTTTAGCAGTATGTGCTTATTATGAATATTACAGCTGTCAAAATGGCAAAACTACCATGACTGTTTGTAACTAGTCCATTGGTATCTGGCTTAGGATTTCTAACAATGTGTAAAAACAGTGCAATCATAGTGGGTAATGCATTGAGAATTGATAGAGCTGTATTTCTACTTAGACAATTAAACACAAGTTCCCACTCGTTTCTGCATACTACGTTGGCTGCAGGTGGATGGTGTGCATGGTGCAAGTCTGTGTTATGTGTTGTTGCCGGACTGCGTTTTGCAGTCTTGGCAGCAATGCTCACTCCTCACCTGCAGCCATAGAGCAACTGGAGATCATAGTACTGGCCCTTGACGTCCTTATCGACATCTCGCCATCGGCCAGCCTCCAAACTCCCCTACATGCTGCAAAACTTATTTCATGCAACTGTATTACATGTAGTCTGAATCCATTACAGCTTGCATGGTAAGATACCATCAGTTCAGTGATACTGTTTAAAATGTAGCTGTGTTGGCACTTCTAGAAGTTAGTAGAATATGTGATTCATCCACACTGCTGAGTGGCTAATAAGTGACAGTAAAACAACAACAAAAACAAATTTGTTATGATGGTTTGAGATGTTCTCTGAACTCGATTATTAAATGTTGATCAGGTTGCACCTATCAAAGGATGGATTTACCTAGTTTAAGTTGCTCTGGAAAAATTGTAGTAGCGATTCCTGAGAAAATGTAGCTAAAAACAAAGGTTCATCACAAACTGAAGTTTAGTTACCACTGTAGCTACGATGTTGTAGACTGCAGTACTTAGGTTTTAGTTGAACATCGAAGTCTCTGGCTCTAAGCCTTATTGATTCTACAACACCTGGAGTTTTGCATGTGAGTTGAACCAAAATAAACAGAATGTAAGCTATTATGTAGGATCCTCTTGATCCTTCTTTTTCCATTAATAGAGGTTGGGCAATATGTTGCTGGATTTGTTTTACAAATGTCTCTTCATGATGTGTTTAACAGGAAGAGGTGGCAAAGAAGCGTACCCGCCGCGCAGTGAAATTCCAGAGGGCCATTACTGGGGCCTCCCTGGCTGAGATCATGGCCAAGAGGAATCAGAAGCCTGAGGTCCGCAAGGCCCAGAGGGAGCAGGCCATCAGGTAAGCACACAAACTGTTTTTTTTTTTTGTTTTTTTTTTAACATCAGGTTCCTTGGTTTCTATTAAATTAGACTGATTAATAAAATTTTTGAGGCACTGTATTTTAGCAGGAGATACATTATTTACTTAGAACCAAGGCTTGACATTGGCACCCACTTAATGCAGGTAGCCTTTGCCAGTGGTGTGTAACAGTCACTCGTAGGGGTGCAACGCATCCTAAAACTCACAGCTTGGATCATACCGTGGTTTTGAGTCAAGGGATCAGAACCTTTTTCAGATCAGCAAAAAATAAAGGTTAGAGTTATAAAAAAAAAATTAATGTACGAATCAGCCACGATCTGTTACGCCACTAGTCACTTTTTATGGTGGTGGGTGTCATTCATAGGACTGCCCCCTAAAACTCATGATTCCAGTCTTCAGTGGAGAAAAATGGTTTATTAGCATTTTGTCAGTCAAATCAATGCACTTTTGTTTTGTAGTGGTGTCATTGTAATATCGAGCAATGCAGAAAGTCAAATCTTCCTATCGAACAACCAATTGCGATCAGAGAGGTAGGTAGATAAAGTGACTTTGGAAAACCACTAGCCACAGTGGCTGGTGAGAACAAAAGTAAGCCCTGCTTACAATGGTGGAATTTGAGTGAGCTGCACTGTTTGAAAACTTGTGAACGTCATCAACCAGTATTTAAAATGGGGGGATCAATAAAATGAAGAATTGTACATCTGCATATTCTGTTGACGCACCTGGAAAATTGAGGAGAAATGAAATTTCCAGCGCACTTTTTCATCATCAAATAAAGCAGAGACAATATATTTACCATCCCCTTTTTTTGGCCAAGGTACTTTTTCTTTGGATGAATTATAAGCCCATTATAAGTGATGTTGGAAACCAATGAGCAGGACTGCTTTATGGTTAAATTATTTTTTTTAGTTTTGCAATGTACCTTGAAGTGCCAGGTGTTTCAATTTCTTAATTCACTGAAGACACACTGTCAGCTTTGTGCTATCATGTAATATTATATTTAGATATAACATTAACTGGGAAAGTCCATGTCGCCCACTCCCCCTCATTTGGTTGATCGTTTCTCTCATTATTCTCTCAGAGCTGCCAAGGAGGCCAAGAAGGCTAAGCAGGCAGCCAAGAAGCCAGCTGCTCCAAGCGCTAAGGTAAGAACTCACTTCGTGCAGAAGTAGTGTTTTGTCTGAGGTAATTCCCTTCACCAATATAAAATCTGATTCTATATTTTATACTTCTCATGAAAAGTCGTAACCTGATTTTAAAAGACTAAACTTTAAGGTCCTGGGTTTAGTAGAGTAGCAGACTGCAAAACATAGTGCTGCTACAGGCTATAAGTGCTACCTGCTCCTCTGTTTCAACTGGATTATTAAGTCACATTGTTACTTTTAGATGGTATTTTGTGTTTTTTATATATAAAAAAGAAATACATACACACCAGGGTACTTAATGTATTTCTCCTTCTGTAGGCCTCTACCAAGACTGCCCAGAAACCCAAGATCGCCAAGCCCATGAAGATCAGCGCCCCCCGTGTCGGTGGAAAACGCTAAACCTGACTCTTTGTTAATGGTTGTGAATAAAAATTTGTGGTTAACCATTATTTGTGTGATTTTAATTTTTAAAACAAGACAATGCTTCAACATGATCATTATCATGCCATTATATTAACCTTTCAACTGTGCTAACCTGGTTTTTTTTTAAATGTTTTTTTTTTTAGTTGAGGTGGATTTTTACTACACAGAATGATCCTTTATATTGGGTTCAATGCACAATTTGGGGAACGTGGCTGCATAAGGACTAAGTATACAAACAGGAATTGGTGTAATGAACATGTAGAAAAGGGCAGACAAAATTATTTCTGTTAAAGCATTTATGCCACGTTCCAGACCGGTCAGAACTGGGAAAGTTGAAATATCCGACTTCTAACCTTAAAGCGTTTCAGGTGGATGGTGGTGCAATATATAATATAAACATGGCTGACCTTGACAAATGTGTTTCTTTGGCAAGCTTATGCACCGTTAAACCCTCAGCAGTGCGCTTGGTGTTAATTAAAAGGATGGCCTTTTAATTAAAAAGTGACAAATATACAGGTTTTCATAAGCTGTATGCAATAATCATCGAAATTATATCAAATAAAGGCTTGAAATATCTCACTTTGCATGTAATGAGTCTATATAATAGTTTCACCTTTTAAGTTGAATTACTGAAATAAATGAACTTTTGCGCGATACGCTAATTTTTCGAGTTTCACCTGTACATTACTGTATCCCACTAGCTACATCAATTGGTAATCTTCAAACATCAGCAAAAGTTGTATACTATTTTTCTAAATGGTTTCACATTTGGGTGTGGAGGGGCTGTCTTGGATGACACGTCTCTTTAACATTGCGTGGAAGTCAGGTACAGTGCCCAAGGAGTGGCAGACTGGGGTGGTGGTTCCCCTGTTCAAAAAGGAGGACCAGAGAGTGTGTGCCAATTACAGGTGTATCACACTTCTCAGCCTCCCCGGTAAAG